TCCGCCTTCCTTTCCACGACGAATCGACCGTACAACGGCGCGTCGGACTACGGGGGGTGGGGGTGCCCAAAGAAGAATCCACGCTCCAGAGGCTGAACCCCGCGGGCCGTCGGGATCACCACCCCACCGCCACGAGACCACGTCGGCTACGATGGCAGTCGAGAAATCACGAAGGGAAAGGAATGGAGCCGAAACGATTGGATGGCGTTCCTTCGCTTTTCCCTTCCCCTCTTCGCTCTCCGGTTTACCGTGTGTGCTTCGCTGCGAGGCGACGCAACGGACCCCCTTTTTTTTTTTTGTTTTTGAAAGCCAACGACGGATCTTCACAAAGGCATAAAAGGTAAAGAAGCAGAAAAAGGGAAGAAAATAAATGTCGATTTGCTTCATCTCCGGAACCCCCCAAAACGATTTCGGTTGTTCTAAGTTCCTTGTGCATTCTTCAACTCTACACGTTGCAATGACGGAATTATGTTATTCCGTGAAAATTGAAGGTACTTCTTTTTTTAAAAATTATTCCATCCCGTCTTCCCAGAGTGCCATGCAAGGAATCTATGTTCCATGTATGGGCTGGCCTCAACGGAGGAGTTTGGTCATTCATATTTTTAAAGAAAAGAAGTATTATATACATCAGGACACATCACACATCTTTTTCTCTCTCTCTCTATATATATACACATATATACACACATATGTATGTATGTATCTATATCTATATATATCTATATATATACATATATATATATCGCTCAATATATATATCAAAGATGGTGTTAAGCGAAGAAAAGAAGCCTGCAACGACGCCGTGAGGGAGGAGATTCCTAAAAGTGTTCACACTTCCTCCAACCCGGCGTCTCGTTTTCGGATACATACGTTGCTAGTCCGCATAAGGGGACGTTCTAGAAGGGGGGGGGGTCTACGCGTTCCGCTTCTCACACTCTACCTCGAGCTAAACCGAGAAATGAGAGCCACAACGTCAACGGCAGAAACAAAAGGAGGAAAACAAAACAAAACATCACAATCGATGCGTACGTGGGAAAAATACAAGAGTCATGTACATCAGCGAATAGGGAGAAGAACACCTCGATCAGCGGTCTTGTCTGCATCTGCGCGCGACAATGGTTGACTAGGAAAAAAAAAAGAATAAAGAGAAAGCGAGGGAAAGGGCGCGCAGCGAAAAAGAATAGATTTGTATAAGGCAAACTATCCTTTTCCCTCCTCTTTTTTTTTTGTGTGTGTGCGTGTGTGTGTTGGAGGGGTTTAGGAGACTTCCTTGCGGCGCTGGGCGAGTTGTTTGTAGGCTTTCTTCTCCTCCCGCTCGACCATCGCGAGGGCCATCATCTTCAGCTCATGTCGATCACGAATTTCGTTATCGGGGAACTCATCCACGGCGGCGGCGGCGGCCGGGGAGCTATTCATGCCTCCCCCCCCTCCTCCGGTATGGATGGGGCTTTGAGAGCTTTGGATGGAGCTGCCTTTCAGCGCCCCGCCGTAATCGTTTGTGTCCTCGGGCGGCAGGGGGTGTTGGGAATCGCGCGGGAGGTTTCCCCCGCCCCCCATGACGACCGTCTTCCCTTGCGATCCCACCCTCGTCGACCTCCCGGCCCCCCCCCCTGCGAGGTTCACCGGCGGGGTCGGGTTCACCACGCTGCTGCTGCCGTTCCGCGGGTTCGTACTCGACTGCACCCCGGCGGGCACGCGCAGATTCGTTTCCGGGTTCGCGATCCGCGCGCGGGCGACGTCCTCGGCGGCGGCCTCGAGCTCCTCCGGGGTGAGCAAATTCAACAACTGCATCGTCTTCGCCTCGCAGCTGCGCAGGAGGCTGACGGCGGGGATTTCGCTGACGAGCCCGTCCCCCGCCCCCCCGGCGGACGGGGAGACCCCGCCGACGGGCTGCACCCCGGCGAGTTTATCCGCCA